GCAGGAAGGAGATGAGGCTTTCGTGTTGAACAGGCAGGGCAGAGTGAAAACCTTCACTTGAAGGTTCCTTGCCTGATATGCTGTTGAAAAAGGCTGGCCCAGGGAACCTGCCTGTGTGACTGAGCTGGAAAGAAAAAAAAGTCTGTTAAACACCAACTTTTAAACAGCATCCAAATCTTCAAAAGCAGTAGAAAGTAGCTAGGGTGTCCCTCGTTTTACTCAGCTCTTATCTTACGGAGAAAAAGTAGAAACAATGTAATATGGCCAAACGGTTGCTCAGCCATCTAATATTTGAATGTTTGCTCTTTCTTGCAGTCACCTTTGACCACTTTGAAATTTTGCGAGCTATTGGGAAGGGCAGCTTCGGAAAAGTGAGTATGTTGTGAACTAATCACCATTTGGACAGCTGGAAATGTAACTGAGAAATGGGCTAATTGGAGGCTTACATGAGAGAAATAAATCCCTGCGTTGTCGATGAGCTTTGTCCTGAGCTTCAACTCCTGGTAATCGAGAAAGAACCAGAGCCTGACTCCTCATGCATTCCGTAGCCACCAATTGTATTACAGGAGATTAAAATGAGATACTGATAAATCAAATGACCTGAATTTCATTATGTTTCTGGATAAGTGTTTTCTAAGATTCCCCAGCAAAGCAACACTGAACATCATGATGCATCTTTAATAAGGAACTACAATCAACATGAAAGGCCTGGCAATTTTTTTAAGGTGTTATTTGTCTGTGAAACACAGTGTTTGTTATTAAGCATCAGGTCGCAGTCATAGGTTGGTTTTATATTTATGCTGTTATGGAATTCCACACTTGTATACGTTGACAGAATTCCAGAAAGTCATTTGCCTCTTCACATAAAGTCACTCTCATGCCAGAAATGGGGTGTGTCTGAGGTGCAGAGTGCAGCAAAAATATCTAGACGGAGATTTATTAGGTGGCAAAACAAAAAGGGTTGACTGAAACTTTACAAATTCATCCCAAACTCATAAACTGTTGTGGAAACAAATCTGAAAAGCCAGTCTGTTTTGTTTCATGCTCTTACAGACTCCGAATCTTGCATTGAAGCAATGTTTCTTTCTAGATTTGGTGAAGTATAACTATAAGAAAGGTTAAAATTCAAACCTCAGTACCCCTCCAACAAAGCCCAAGGTTCTTTGTGAGCTGGATGAAGCTTATCAAGAAGTTGTTGCTCTCCAGTTTTGAACCCATAGTTCTGTGGTGGAAAGGACTCTTCCAAACAGTAGCTGATGTGGGAGGGATGGACACAACCAAGATTAGTTAGCGTTATTAAATAAAATGTTGACTTGTGTGCGGTTCCCTATCTCCTATCTTTGTGGTGATAAATTGCTTCCCCTCAGCTTTCCCCCAGCAAAATTTCTTCTTTGGCTGCAAACTGGGTGAGGGATTTACTGGCCATGTCCAGGTTGCAGCGTCAGTGCATGGAGCTGTGCCTTGGCAGTGCGGACTTTGCTAGAGCCACTGGAGAATGCTCGTGTGACTGGATTTTATGTGCCTGAATTTGCTGACAAATCATCTCTGATTTATCCCTTGATTTCCTCACTTAGGTCTGCGTTGTGCAAAAGAACGACACCAAGAAGATGTATGCCATGAAATACATGAATAAACAGAAGTGCGTGGAGCGTAATGAAGTGAGAAATGTTTTCAAGGAGCTGCAGATTATGCAGGGCCTGGAGCACCCCTTCTTAGTTAATTTATGGTAAGATATTGCTCCTTTGCTTGCTGGCTAAGTCAGCGTTGTCAGTTGGAGACGTCTTTGAGACCAGACTTGCCCAATTCTCTGCTGCAAGCCAGTTTCGGAGCAGCTTGTCCGCTGGCATCTGCAGCACAGTGGGCATCGTGCCGAGCCAGGCACCTGTGTCTCGCCGGCAGCGCGTGGACTGCCCGGGGTGCTGTCTGCAGGGCAAGTGGCAGAGGTTGCCTGTGATTGCTCCGGAGAGCAATCCGGTGTGTGCACCGGGGACCAGTCCTGTGGGTCTTCGCTGGAGGTGGGACTCCTCATCTGTTCCACTGATGGGGCCCTGGTTTCAGGGGAATCTGGTTTAATTAAACAAGAGGTTAGCCCTCTTGTCCCCCACAAAAGCACAAGAGAGTTTATTCATGTGTTCCCTTGTGGTTCTTTCCTAGGCAGGTATTGATCATTACCATAACCCAATTTTATGTAGTAGTGTTCTTTTACAACAAACAGCTCCCAGGACCACACAGTAACAGCATGGGATTGATAGCCAAGCTGTGCTCTGTTTGCAGGGTTTCCCTTGGCAATGCTTTCTTCTCATCAACTCCTGATTCAGATTTTGTGGTTTATTTTGTACTTTAAACAGCCTGCCTTAGTATCTTATTGATGTTTGACTGAATTCATACTAATCAGCAAGGATAAAAGCAATTTATTGTTTAATTTACTGACAGAAAAATAATACTTTCAAATTTTATTGCAGAAACCCATATATCTATAGGGGAAACATGTTCGTAAGAGTCCCTTTCCTCAGAGTACCTGATGAATGCAACCTACATGCTCTCATTATAGTCCTTTTTCAACCAGTAGCAATGGGATTGACCTGCTGAGTGATAAAAGATGCATGATAATTCTTCCCCCTTCTTTTGATTCAGCATGTTTTCCTGCAGTGGGGCAGTAGAAAGGAATTTTAAATAAGACTCTATTACTGTTGGAGTCTGCCAGGTTAATTTTATTAGGACACCAGTAGCATTTCAAGTGCTGTGGTCTCATGTGCCACATGACCCAGTGGCCAGTATCCTGTAGTTATAGGATTCCTCCAGGGTGGTGGGTAATTACATTTGTTAGATATTGGATTTATTTTTAGAATGGGGTAGAACTAGTTAGTGCTAAACACAAAAATTGAGGCTAAAACACATTAAAGATCATAAATCTTTGAAAAACTTTGTGTTCGTTTTTGAGATCTTCTGTAACTTCAGTGCTGTTAGGTGAACTCTCATCATTTTGATAGTATTTCCGTTCAGTTTTGTTCTAACTGGGGTTTGAATGAGAACCGTGCATCTAGACCTCCCAGAGCTTTGGACATATCTCCAGACTTTGCTTTCCTACTTGAACAAGCAGTTCCAGGCAAAACTCACTCAGCAGCTGGGCATGAAACAGCATATGCACATGTCTGGAGCTGCACAGAGCAGATCCTCTGAGTTTCCCTGCTTCTGTTCTTATGTCATCCCTGGGCGCGGTTGTAGCCTTTAGCTTGCCCGCACTCTGGATGATACACGGACTTTGTGTGGAGCAGTGTTCTGGTTCGTGGTGCTGCTCATAGCATCAAGAAGCTGGTGTACTGATAAGAAAAAATCCATGAGAAAAAAGCTCAGAGCTGATTGTTAGACTGTCTCAAAGGGACACCTGGTAAATAATTGCATCAAATGAGGTCACTTAAAGAGGAACAGCAGAGAGTAGCTGCATCGCCCGTTGTGTAGAGCAAACGGGTTTATTAACAGCCTGCTGCCAGGAGAAGCAGAGCCCAGTTCTGAGGGCCTCCAGCGCACGATCTGCTGGCTGCGAGTCTGGGCAGGGCTGTGCGTGCTGCGCTGGGGCTTCTCTCTATATTGCTCCTGTGGTCCATTCCTGGGGGTGCTTAGAGAAGACAAAATGTCCTTAAAGAGTGGAGTGTGAATCCCGGGGGAACTGACAGCGTTTATCCAGGGCTCCAAGCCGGATAGAGGACCAATGGCTCAGCGAGCTGGGACTGCGCAGCAAGTGAAGGGCTCTTCCAGGATCCCTCAGAGGGATCTTACGGATGCGCGTGTTGGCTGGGGCAACGCAGGCTTTACAGACGGTCTGCAGACCACCGGCGCAGATGTGATGTGGGTGGCTTCTGGAGCTGTGCTCCTCCGCAGTCGAAGCGGCTGTGGCCAGCCTCTCCTGATGGTGTGCAGTGGGTGGCAGTGGTGCCATCTCCCCCTCGCATGTCATCAGTGGGAGTGTCTCATTAGCTTGTAGCTCATTAGCTGTTAACTGCCGAGCAAATTAAGCTGTTGTGCTCTGCCCAGCAATTAAGGAAGCAATCAGTAAACAAGCATTTGTGTGAGGTCCTCCCTGAAACAGAAATGCTTGTTTCACTCCTCCTGGGCCCTTTCTGGTCTTTGCTGTCGGTTACTGCCACTTGTACCCCCCGATAAACACTCCCGACAGCGGTGCCTGCCTGCCAGGCTCTGGTCCGTCTCGCTTTGCAATGTTTGCGGGAGCAATCCGGGCTGGTGCTCGTGGGCTGCGATGGGGGTGGATATGTTCCTCTGTGTGAGAGCAATAGGTTTGGATGTGGCTTTGTTTTTGAAGTGGCTGATGGTAACAAGTTCAACATAAAAACATTGGGTTGCTGTGCTTCTAGTGGGCCTGCTGGTTATTCTTCATACAAGCTGCACTGACTTGGTTATGGATCTGAAGCTACATTATTGTCATCTCAGTTATTTTGAGAATATAGGTGGTAGGAGTTTAGTTGCAGCAGGAAACAGAGCATGGAAAGGTCATGAAATTATTATTTACTAAGTGAAAAAGTTCCAAGAAATTACGAGTATTCCCAGAGGTATCATATTTCTCTTTTTTTAACGTGTCTTTTTTTGATATTATCATCCTTGAACCATGCTTGTGCCATTTTAGGTATTCATTCCAGGATGAAGAAGATATGTTTATGGTTGTAGACCTGCTGCTTGGAGGGGACCTGCGTTACCACCTCCAACAAAATGTGCGGTTCCAAGAAGGCACGGTGAAACTCTTCATCTGTGAGCTGGTGCTGGCCCTTGATTACCTCCAGAGCAGGCACATCATCCACAGGTCAGCTGGGGACCTCCTAGGTGGGCTGGTGCTCGTGGGCTGCGATGGGGGTGGATGTGTTCCTCTGACACAAGAGGACTGATAGGAGCTTAAGAGCTAAACAGAATATTCTCCCACATATGTTTGCTTTTATGTAAAACAGTAGGCTACCCAAAAGAAAGCATTTCGTATACAACAGGGAGCCTGTTATTTCTCTCTAGGATAGCTATGATATAGCATATTTGATTTGCTTGCTGATACTGGAAGAAGCCGTCTCTGATAAGTTTAATTAGCTTTAGCTCCTTAATATCCCCCCTGGTCCAGGGAGGGTAGGTGTCTACATTCAGAATTGTCCTGCTGTCACACTCGAAGGTGTCCCCCTTTTGCTCCCCTCTCTCTACCGCACTGAAAGACAAGGAATGGGACCAAACACAGCTTTTTGCTGGATGAGATGAAATTGCTTTCTAGGAGTGGTGAGAGTTTCTTTTTGGCCATCAAGATTTTTCATGGCCAGTGAAAAAATATTTGAGCTCTTCCCACCCATTCAAAGACCTGCAAAGTAACAGAGGAGGTAGAGCCTTTTCCTGGTTGGAGAGGCAGGGTTTGGCTCTGGACGGACAGACATGCAGCTGGTTTCTGCTGGTGTACTGGGCGATGCAGACCTCAGGGGTCCAAGGGTTTGACTTGGTAGCTGCTAACAGGGGCTGAGAACAGGGAGGGCCTAGCAGAGGGCTGATAAAGGTAGGGGGAAGATTATTTCACTTATAAAAATCACTCCAGAAGAACATTCTTGTGAGGTTTAAAAATAAAACATGGTACAAAATTTAAAATTGAGGTGGTCCTGGTTGTTAGTAACGGAAGGAATGGGGGCTGATGAAGATGAACGCTTGTTCCTGTCCTTAGCGTTTGGCTGCCATTTGAGATGTGCGAGCAGGAAGACTGGCGCGTGGTGTGCCTGCAGCATGCCCTCCACAGTCGTGGAGAGCCTTAGAGCACCAGGGAGGTTTTGCTCAGCTCCTGTTGGAGCCAGACCTCTGTGGGAATAGCTCCCACGTTCTCAGGTGTCTCATCTTTCATGCTGCTTGTCTTGTGTTGTATCTGCATGGATTTCTGCTCCGACACAGCTGCTCTCTGCAGGCGGGCCCTCCTGGCTGTCCTGTTCGGGCTCCATCGGGCGCTGCTCTGGTCTGGGACACAAAGCCAGTGTACGGGGACGCTGCACTGGCCCTCCCGCCCGGCACCTGCCTGCCGGCACCAAATAATGCATGAGCATGAATTAAACATCGTGACGTGCAGACTTGGCTGCCTCTGTCCGCGGCAGTGAGGGGGAAATCCTTGGGCTGTTGGCTTGGTCAGAACAAACCGAGTGCGGAACAGGCGTAAGAGAAGCAGCGAGGAAGAAATCCTTCTCCATTTGTAACGTGTTACAATGAGTGGTAGCGTTTATAGGACTGAGGGGCTAGAGGCTCTTCACGATTTGATTCTGTAAGAGTGAGTCTGCATGCGAAGGTGACCGTTCCTCGTAAGGATGGAAGCTGTGAGCACAGGGTGCCGGGGGGCTGCGGTCCCCGATCCGAGCTGCGTCCCTGCAGCCGTGCGGCATTGCCAGGGCAGGCTGGCTCCTGCTGCGGCCGCAGCCTCAGGGCAGGTCCCGAGAGGACAGCCAAGGGCCACAGCTCTGCGCATTTCCCAGAGGACTGTTTGTAAATACAGGTGGGAGAAGCTGGCATTCAGGCTGCAATGTGCACTTCAGGCAGCTATACGTGTTTAAGGTGAATCAAGTACAACAAAACACGTATGTCGGTCTGTAAAATTTGCAAGTTATTTAATCAACTCTGTAATGCAAGTTGTTTAATTAGCACTGTAACCCAGGGGGATGGTATTAGATTGATAAAGTGAATCCACTGAGTCAATCACACTTCAGCATCTGTAATTGGGAACATCAGGAGACAGGCAAGCAATTGCTTATTTTGTCTGAACAAAGCTGTGCAGAGACAGCAAACAGACTGATGGCTGGAATTATTGGTTAGTTTTTACAGGCTAGGAAATGGTATAACCAGTTTTATAAAAAAAAAAATACAGAAATAAACATTGCTTGCATCCTGGGAATGATCTCACTGTGCTGGTGTAATTCCATACTGGGTGAGATCAGAAAAAGGCCCCAGTGGGAATGAAAAAAACAAAACAAACACACACACAACAACAACAAAACAAACAAATAAAAACCAAAAAGTTGAAAACTGGATAAGAAACTCAAACCTGTCTTTACGGTTCATTTCAATACTTTGAATCCCTAGGTATAAAAATATTTTCAACAAATCTTTTTTTTTTTTTTTCCCCCCCAAACTCTTTTTGCTGAAACATTTTTTAAAGTTTCTGCTTAAATTAGCATGTTCTCAAAAATACCAAGTGTGGCATCACCATTTTTTGCTGTCAAATACAGCGTTTCTAATCATCTGGACTGTTCGGCTCTAACCTGTGGCGCAGTTTTTCTGTGCGTACGGGGAAGACCAGCCCCTTACCCGAAGCTGCCCCATTCTGTCTTGATAAAGGTGCCTGTTCCTGTCACTACCTCTGCGATGGGGGATGGCACAAGGAAGGTAACTGGAATTGTTAACCCACTGGAAGTAGTTTGGGTGAGAAGATGCTAGAGAACTAGAAGCTATTACATGATAACTAGATATGTTATCTTTTCTTGATTCCAAGTGGGTAGGTGAATTCAATCTTTATCTTAGTGATTGCATTTTCAAGGATAAAATCCTAAACCTGCTCACTTCTTCACTTTGAACCCCTGGGCCTGGTGAGAAGCATCGGGACGGTGCAGGCTCATTGCACGTGTGTGCAGTTGTGTATGTGGCAGTCTCCTTATGGGGCATTAAATTGCCAGGTGCCTGGCTCAGGCTGAGAGCAGGTGAATGGGGACTGATGTAATGAGCTCATTAAAACCGACTAATGTCTTGTAAAGTCACTCAGGTGGATACAGTAAGCATATCAGGTGTACATTTTCTCCCTTCAATAG